CGGCGCTGTGATTTATGCAGAGGAGTAACCTGCCAAAATGCCAGTGTATGTGTTATAGCACCCGGTGTGTTGCACTGAGGAAGGTGCAAAGGTTCCCTGGCAGTGCTAAAACCCCCTCTGCTATTTATGTGTATGGGTGGTGTAGATGCAAATGGGGGTATGTATGGAAATAGTCACACAAAAGTCTAATAATTGTGTGTCTCCCTTTAAAGCAATAACTAATCTGAGCAGCTTTTAGTAAGGTTATGTACAGATGACAATTTAGAAAGTTCAGTAGCTCAAAAAACCCCAATGTTCTTGTCACTGCATGGACACACTAAGTCTGCTTGCTTAAAAAAAATTCAGCCGCCATGCTCCCAAAACCCAAACCAAAAATCTGTCTTGCATCCTTAATCCTGCCTTCCTGTGCCGCAACGAAGATGAACTGACCCTCAGCATCTGCGCAAGGAGCAAACTGGGATGCTTTCCTGGGGTTCCCCCTTGACACGCAGGGAGAAGTTTAATAAGGACATCTGCCAGAGGCCGAGATTGTCCCAGGACAGCTGAGGCTGGAAGGTACATCTGGATATCTTGTAGCCTAATATCCTGCTCCGAGCAAGTTCACCTAGAGTAGGCTGCCCAAGACCATGTCTAATAAAGGTTTTAGTATCTCCAGGAATGGAGACTCCACAGCCTCTCTGGACAACCTGTTCCAGTGTTTGACCATCATTAGAATAAAAATGGTGTTTTCTTATGTTTACATGGAATTTAGTGTATTTCATTTTGTGCCCATTGCCCCTTGTCCTTTCCTTGGGCACCACTGAGAAGAGTATGGCTCAGTCTGCTTTACTGTCTCCCACCAGGTTTTTATGGATATTGACAAATGTCCCCCTTACATACCAATCATTAATGTCAGATGCACAAGACAGGGAACTGAAGGCAAGTCAGTAGCCTGGACAAAGCAATAATGCAAGGATTACAGCAGATCTCAGCCATAATGAGAGGTTAAAAACAGTCACGTTGCTGCACATTTCATGGGAACGTAGGGACAGCAGTATTATACTAGGGCAAGTGGCCTTACCTCTTACTCAACAACGGTCAGGTCTCTGCTGAAGGATCATGGTGAGTCTGCACCATTACAACTCGAGAAAGTTGCAGACCTGTCAGAGAGGATGCCCGTGAGAGCAGTAACATTGATCACTGCTGAAAAACATCACCTACAAAAAATTCTTACAGGAATAGGGTTGGTTTTGTCGGCGAG